CTTATTTATTTAAAATCATGTGCGCTTACATCACCAATATTCCTATAAACTACAAATTAGTATTACTAATAAACTATCTAACAATGATAGACTCTTATATAGCCCTATTTCTTGCACTATTTAACTTCGTAAATGAGAACCTTATTACTAATCATTACGTCGATCATCCCATATTGAATTTGATCCCTGCACGTTATACCCCGGATCATCTATTCACGTGCATCCAATAATAATCCCGACATGAGCTAGACCCCCGGGACTTCGTCCCGAAGTTCGACCCATGTAATCCAATTTCCAACATTACAAATTTTCATATCTATCATTAAACACCAACACAAAACCCAATTATTATGCATTACCAACACTTATATTAATTGTACTAACTGTCAATTACATTTTTATTTTATTTTATTTTTTTTTTCTTTATTTTATTTTTTTTTTTTCTTTATTTTTTTTTGGTTTCTATCATGCAGAAGGTCGGATAGATTGTCTTCCAAAGAAATATATTCTTCGTCATCCGATTGTTCTTCATTCACTTGACTCATTTGTTCTTCAACCATTCCATCCTCACAGCCAGGTTCGTAACCATCCAATTTCAATTTCTTTACTCAATTTCTTGTGATTGGGTTTTTCAACTTTGATCCATTGACTTCTTCAAAGTAAAATTGATCAAATTCTCCAACTTCAGTCACCCTATAGAGACCAACCCATCAATAGTCCAATTTTCTGGAACATGTATCCAAGGTTGAATCATAGACCAATACCAGGTCATCAATATCAATTGGTTCTCTTTTCCGGAGGTCCATCGGTTGTGAAATTCTTTCTACTGCCATTTTAATTTATCACGATTCATACATGTGTTCTTCAACTCACCAACCAAACCTTTTATTTGTAGGGTTCAGTATTCAAGCAACTCATCAGTCATCCATTAGCTTCTCAAAACATACATATAATAACTTTCTATTACTAATTCGATTGGCATTATTATGTCTTTTCCATAAACTAAATGAAAAGGGGAGTACCCCAAGTCACCAACAGTTGTATTGATTGCCCAAATCGCACTTCATATATATTTATGCCACCTATTTTGTCGTTCCACACACAACTTTTGAATTATTCTGGTGAACTTTTATACCACACGTTCTGCATGACCGTTCACTTCAGGATGGTAGCTGGCAACGAAACATTGATCCACGTTTAATCATAATAACAGTTCCTCCATTATTGTATTTTTGAATTTGGTTCCTCTATCTGATACTAGAGTAGTAAAGCATCCATGGCGCAAGATTATATCTTCCCAAATAAATTGGGCGATATTTTTAGCATTCTTTTTAACTAGGGCCCTTCTTTCAACATAGCTAGTTAAGTTCTCTATCGCTAATACCATGTGCTTATGCTTCGCCACAGTATGGGGCAAAGGCTCTACACAATTGATGAAGATCTTCTCAAAGATTCAACTTGTCACAGTTACATGTATTGGTTCAGGCGGCAATTTCGGGGCACACCTTTGACACTGTTCACAGCTCGACACTATCTTTTTTACATCTTTGCACATATTTCCTGATCTCCAAATATACTTCATCTTAACTAAGGTCAAGGTCATATTAATACCTCGATAACCACCTTTATTCGCCAATTTTTTATGACTTGCCTTCACGATGTCTTGTTTGTCATGGTCTTCTAACACAACATGCCTTGGCGGGGCTCTTTTCTTCGATCGTAGGTACAAATTTTCTCTGATTAAGCAGTAACATTTCAATTTTCTTTTCAGGCGAGGTAAGTCATGTGCATCCACATATGGCCTCCAACTCAATTGTTGCAAATATTGTTTTACTAGAAACAAATCATTAATTTTTTGATTTTCCAAGCCCACATAATACAACAACCCTTCAACGAAGTCATTGTCGGTCTGTGTACATTGATTTGGCAGGGCAGGATATCATGACATTCTATCTGCATTACTATGTTTCTTGTCTGACTTATATTGAACCCGAAATTCGAACGATTGAAGCAGCAATACCCACCTTATTAGTCTACCTTTCAACTCAAACTTATTGAACAACTATTCCAAAGCCTGATGGTCAACCTATACATTAAATACAGTTTTACCAACATATTGTTCATTCACATAACAACCGAACATAACACTCCTTTTCAGTAATGGTATAATACAACTTATGTTCATTCAGCTTCCTGAAATCGAACAATACAGGCTTCAAACGTCCTTTATCATCTTCTTGCTCAAGAACTACTCTCACAGAAGTATCACAAACGTCAGTATACATATGATACAGCTTTTGACCATCCTTGGCAACTTGCCAATCAGATGCTTTCAGAATGACTTCCTCACTCAATTTTTGCTTTAGCAACTCGAACACATCATTTTCTTCAGGTTCTCAATGAAACTTAATATTCTGCTTGGTCAAATTAGTCAGTGGTTTGGCGATTTTGCTAAAATTTTTGACAAATTGTTGATAATAATTCAACACACTATGAAACAACCTTACTTTTGTTACATTGCAAAGAGTTTTTCAGCCACAAATCTTTTCAATTCTTTTTGGATTTACTTTAATACCATCCTTACTAACCACATAGCCATACATTTTGAGCTCATTATACAAGATAAAACACTTTTTCGCAGCAAAAATCAAACCCTTAGCTAACTCAATGAATGTCTTTAAATATTTCTCCATGCTTCTATTTGTCCATATACTGATATTGTCTTGGTACGCCACTGTGACATTCTTCCATTTTTTACCATCCAGTAACCTACCTATTAACCTTTGAAAGGTCTCGCTTGCATTCTTTAGACCATACACATAACTGTATATTGTAGTACTTCAAGAGACGTAGCTACAGCCACCTTATCATGGTCTTTCTCATGGATACCTATTTGCTAGTATCCTTTAAACGTGTCAACCGATGAATACCAATCATGCCCAGCAGCTTGTTCTAGTATGTCTCAGATTATTGGCAGAGAATAACTGTCTTTAATTATAAACTTATTCAAGGGTTTCATATTAACCATGGCCCTTATTTTGTCAGTTCTTCTTTCTTTCTTTTGTACGAAAAAGCAGTGGTAGGCGTATTCATCTGATCCCTTTTCCAACAGTCCACATTCGATCATCTGCTTCAAATAGTCCTCAAACACTTTTCTCATTTTAGGATTGTTTATTCTAATCTGTTGCAGCCTTATTGATAGTATAACTGTGTCACTAGTTCTAACTTCATATTCTACCAGGTTTGTTTTGCCAATGTCTTTCAATTTGTAGGCGAAGACCTCCGGTACTTTACTCACTAACTGGTTAATTACAATGCTTCTTATCAGTTCATTTCGAACCTTGGGTTCTAGATTGATCAACGCACTATTTTCCATCATCAATCTTGATACAACAAAAATATCCTTTCTTTCAATTAGCCTATTGTTCTTTTCATCGTTATATCTCAGTAACTGACCCAACCACCAAATGCCAAACCATCCAAACTTTCATATTCTACTGGTTTGACTTGTCATTAAACCACATTGTCTCTGTTTTTGGCTTTGTTTAGAATGGTTAGAAGCTTGCTTATCTTCATTCAATTCCTTGAGTTCTTCTACATCCATTATTCACACCGTTATAATGTCATCTATATCATCGAAGTCACCATCATCGTTACTATCAACTTCGTCTATATAATCGTCAATTAATACCTCATTCACCCAACTTCTTGACACAGTAGACACTACAAAGGAAGTGGATCTTGTAGAGGAAGAGATAGTGTACCAATACTCAGTTCCCTTAAAACTCAAGAAGCATTGTGCTCTCGCATTCTATGCCATACCTAACAGGACTTCAAAGCTAGCTAACTGTCTCCATTACATAAAAGCCTTGTCAAACTATAAGACCTTCCATATTGACTTCAATGTCAGGTATGTAATCCATGAATTGACTGACCCTATTATCAGCCATTCATCCTCTGCCGCACACTTAATTCTATTCTAACCCTCTTTTTACTGCATATCTTTTTAACATGAGATTGATGCAAGAACCAGGATCAATCGGGGCTTTCACTGTATCTCCATTTATCTTGACTAATTAAATGGGCACAACCTCACTTGATCTTGATTTATCGTCATGCAAGTTACTTTGTACGATCCTTATTTTCATATTTTCATCAGAAATGGTCTCCTTTTTTCATCATGTCAAAGCTTTCGTTAATTCAGATAGTGCTTTTGGCAACCACTTGAACAACTGGCCAAGGTTAAGAGTTATCTCTATACCGGACAGCCTTTTCAACAGGTCAAGTTCATCGGCAAGCTCAGTGAATAGTATATATATCATGTTTTCACGTGATTTTACTTGTTGACCTTTTCGTTTGTTTTCATTGACCTTTTCTTTTTTTCTGGATGGTATGAACACTGCTACATTATAATTGTTCCTCTTTCTTTTGCCAAATGCCCTTATATCACCACATTCATCTTCATTTAATAATTTTATCTTCAAATATTCAACACCAATTGTGAAGCCTTTCTCCAAAAATTCCACAAGATGTACATCAGCGTTATTGAACGTTATAGCCTTGTTGGTTTGACTTTACTATTATTTCAATTTGAACAATTCTTTACAATATGGCCTTCTTGCTTATACAAATAATATATACGAGGCTTGCTAGCTTTCTGCTGGGTTTGTTTACAATTCAGATCTTTTATAGTCTTGATCACTGCATGTTGAATCATGTTTTCAATATCGTTTTGATTTAATTTTTCTTCCTGTTCCACACGGTTAGTACTCAATGCTGCAGTCTGTTCATGATGGCATCAAGATCCATATCCGTTTTACTTAAGTATGGAGTATGTTCAATTCTTTGTGTTTATTGAGAGTTTTGTCCCTATTGTACTCCTCTATCTTTAACATCTTTTTCTTTGCTTATAATTTTTAGGGCAGCAATTTCAACCTTTGTTCTATACGGTTTCTTTAAACCTCGAAGATACCAGTCATGCTTCTCATCATTCCTAAGTTGGGTTTTTACGGCTTCAGCATTGGCTTCATACCTATTGGTGAACTCCCTTATTGATTCTCTTTCATTCTGCTTGAGGCGTTTCAAGCAATTAATTTTACTTTGGTTTCATTTTGGGCCTTGATCTTATCAATGATAGTCTTTTTTAGATCTGTCCAAGTCTTCTTGGTTTGTATTAGGTCCCTAACCCACGTTCTCATACTTTTGGGCATGTGTATGTGCACTATTAGACATAAGGTGTCATCATTGTACTTTTTGGCTTTTTCATAGCTTTCAAATCAAAAAGAACGTTCTCTATATTATTGATCTCGGCACTACGATATACAGATACAGTTTGATCTTTACTGTTCATTGTTATAACCTTATTTCTTTATCTTGTTAATGTCCTTTTTCCTATATCTCTACCTTTATTCACTATCTTCACTTGTGATAATGCCAAATATACGTTTAACGATTACATTCGTACACCCTTTTGTGGCTTGTAGAATGCGTTAGTACTAGGATTAGGTACAGTCCTTGGTAGGTACATTTTACTATAATTATGTTAACTTATCCTTTCATATAATTAACCAAAGTTTTTTTATCTTTTTTTTTTTTTTTTTTTTATAATTATTTTAATTTTTTTTTAAATAAATATATTTTTTTTTTTTTTTTAAAAGAAAAAAAATTTTTTTTTAAAAAATGCATACTTTTTTTTTTTTTTTTTTAAATTTGAAAAATTTTTTTTTTAAAAAAAAATATTTTTTTTTTTTTTTTTTGTGACAAAAATATATATTAAAAATTTTTTTAA